CAGTTGATATCGAGTTCTTACAATTATATATACTCGTCTTTATATATTACTTCGAACTTTTCGTTCTTGAAAAATATCTAGTTTAATGATATTAGTACATCAAAACGATTGAACGCTTAATAACGAAAGTATTTAATTTAGTGTATAGGATCAAAATACATTTGCTTATAAATGAACACTTCGATATACTCAAGAAGATCGTTTTGCCCAAAGTTCGCGAATTACAAATATTCCAATAGAAATATAATAGTACAAGGGCCCAACAAAATTTTCCAAGTCTGCCATCACAACAATGGTATATACATTGATAGCTGCTGACGTTCTTTGATAGTTCCATGTAGATCATTGCAGATCATAAGAGAAATCTTATTGAGTTTATGGGTGTAAGTGTTATTGTCAAATTTTTCGTCGTCCACCGACACATCACACTCACAATCTTGTTGTTTAAGTCGTTAGTTTGTGTTACTGTTCGTCTATTGTATTTGCGAACATTTCCTATGGTACAGAATGGAATGAAAGACACGTGATTGTTGTTGGGGTAGTGCATCAAGAAACTCTTCTAAATAACAACACGGTCATACAGATATTTGTTTGTATCAACAGACGAAAATGATGTACGAGACTAATGATGGAAATAGGTAAATTAAAATATTCCAACTTAATGAATTTTCTGAAAAATAAAACATTAGAGCATCTTCGGCGATGAATTCTTTCAAGGGTTATACTCCTGATAAGAGTAATGTGCTAACCATTTATGTTTTCCTTCTATTGAGATAACTGAGTAATATCTTTCATGTTTACATATTTTAAGTTGGTGAGGAGAGAAATGGGCATTTGGATGTTTCGTCGCTACTTTTCATTCCGAACATCCAATGTTGAAGTCCGTTTCGAACATCCGTTTTTTCAAAAAATGATCACTTTTAAGATAAAAAGACCGGCTGTTCGTAATTAGAAAAATACGGGTGTTCGGAATGATCATCGGTAAAGAAACGGATGTTCGTAAAAATTTTTAACGGATGTTTGGAACGGCAAAGACACGCACATTTCTATGTGAGAACCTGGATAATTTTAACGGATGTTCGTAATAGAAACTACCTGGTGTTTGGAATGAAAGTATAAGGATGTTCGTAAAGCTTTTACACGGGAGTTCGGAATAGAAACGGAGGGATGTTCGAAACTGAGGGTGTGGGTGTGGGTATGGTTGTGGAGTGTATGGGTGTCGGTGCTGATACAAAGAAAACACCCACACCCTTCGTTTTACAAATATTTGAAACAGGGTGTCGGTGTGTGGGCAAGGACAAGACTTATACTCACATCCTCACTTTTCGACATATCTATGATTGGTTAGATATTAGCATATGTTATTTTCATCTATTATTTGAATTTTCTCATAGTTAGTACATCAGATCAGTATGTCCTGTGTAATAATAAATAGATCGAAGCCTTATTTTGAACATCATATAAGACATTTAATAATTTGTTTATACCTTTATAATGTTTTTCGTATCCATTGATTATCACACTATCTAATATCATTCATTGTTTTCGGCCATTCAGGGCAAAAATAGTCCGCTGAAGTCGGCCGTCCGACTGATTCTATTCTTTTCAATGATCATATATAATTGCTATCATTTGTGAATTATATATCAACTAACCTACACATGATTGTCACTTCTCCGTTCGGTCTTGCCTGACTACAATCACTCGATTGTATCTTCCTCTTGATTTCAGCTCATGAAATATCTTGTCTGTTTTACTTGTAGATCAAAATAAAAAAAACTATACAACTATGGCTACAAATGATGGCGAAGAAGAAACTGTACAACAATTGATAGAAAAATTACTTGACGAGGAAGAAAAAACACAACAAGTAATCAAACAACTTAAGAATGAAATCAAAAAAATGAAACGTAAAGCTGAAGAAATTGAACTGATCGAGGAAACAAAACATCGTGATGAAATCGAAAAAATGAAACATGACGCTCAGGATATGCGACAAATTCAAGAAGCAATAAATCAATATGAAAGTAAAAAATTCGATCGTCACATTGAAACATTGAATCATGAACTTGAAATACGTAAACGTATAAATGCAACATTGGATCGTCAACTTGAAATAATAAAACGTACAGATGAATTGAAGAGACACATAAAAGAAGCAATACAGCAACAAACACATGAAGCTTACCAAAGAAAAACACGGAAGCTAGACATCGAATCCGATTCATCATCAACTAAAAAACGTCGTAATGTATTTACATTTCATGATTACTTTTGCGATATCGATATACCCGATGAATTACAATCGTTCGATATTGATGTAGTCTTAAATGACAATAATTATTTTAATGATAATATATTAAATTATATTAAACATTATTCAAATCAATTTTCATCATATCCTAAATTAAATGAAGAAGAAATTCAAAAAGGATTTGATCAATTAATTGTTAATTTATTAAATACATTGAATAATTCTACATCATTGAAATATTTACATACATCTTCTTCGTATTATTTAGCAAATAAGTTTAATCCTCACTGTACATTTATATATAAAAATCTAAATATCGATATTGATCAAGAAGAGCCATGTTTAAAAGATTTTATTGTTTCTTTTGGTAACTTAATGTCCCCATATGTTTCTTTCTCAGCAGATTCAATGATTGAAGAAATATTACAATATTTGACAATGATATTTGCAGTACAACATCGTGAAAAGATATATGGTTTTCTTAGTAATTATATACACATCAAATTTTTTTATGTGAAAAAGAAATCCGATTCGGAATGGTATGAATTTTTTCAAAGCCAAGAATTAGAAATGTTTACTTATTCGTCCGAAACATTATCGTCTATTGATACGTCAACAACAGTAACAACAACTGAAAATGCAAGAAAATTAGATGTTAATAAAGATACATGGAAAATATTTACAAATTTTTTAACAATGAATACTAATTTTTATCAATATACAAGATTAAATATAGATCCTCATGATGATTTACTTGGCGATCGATATATGATAACAAAAAAATTAGGATTTGTTATATCATCGATGGTTTATTTATTAGAAAAAAAATGAAGATAATCATTCAGTTGAAGATTCACCACATCATGTAATGAAAATAGTAAAAGAAAGTAAATATTCAAAATGTTTTCAAAAAGAAGTTCAAATGTCAAAAAGATTAAAACGGTTTAATAATTTAAATAAATTTCATTTATTTTTTCAAGATATTCTATATCCATTGTCTTCAGGTAAGGCATTTGTCTTTTGACTTTTTCTTCACTTTTTCTATAGATTCAAAGTCTATCCATGAAAAATAATGTTGAATTTATAATTCTTCAATGTAATTTGTTTGAACAAGATGAGTTCGAATGAAATAAATGCTTCTTTTTTATATTTTGGTGATATATTAAAAGAGTACGAAGAGAAATATCTAGATAATTACAATCGATTGAATATAAGACTTAGTTTTGGTTTTTAGATCTTTTTAAAGTATATAAAACAAGGCAAATAAGAATAATTATGCAAGTTTATTTTCATGCTACATATATATGTATATCATTGTAAGATATGAAAATCTTCAGACTGTTTGATGTTGTAATTTTCAGTATAAAACTATAATGTTTTATCTTCAATGAAAATACATATAAATTGAAGCAACATCTTAAACAAGGATAATAATAATTAATAAAATATTTGTTGTAAAAAAAAAGAAACAAAAGAATCATCATTTCGAATAAGATTAGTTAAAAAAGAAAAGAGGCCATTTTTTGTTTTTATCCTTAAAAGATAAATGAAAGCTCGATAAAACATGTTATTACTACTGAAGAACAACAGATTATAGGAATTAGTACTCCAAAGTCAGTTTTCACAGAAAAAACATGGAATTTTTGTGGTTAAACGCGTTAGTTTTTAGTTTCAACATGTTCAAATGCATCGGTATTTATAATACGTTTAGTAATGTTACTTTATCGGTGGTATGTTGTGTTTAGTTTAAAACATCATCTAAAACTATTGTGTAAACACGTTCATGAACAGTAGTCTTTTGCTTTTCGTGAAATATTTCGAGTAAAAATACAACTGTAGGAAATAAACTCTGCTAACGTTTCCAAATATTAGATTCAAAATGATACTATTTAAACAAGTAACGTTCATCGTCAAGCGATTCACTTAGCCCTAGACTGATAGAATACATGTACGGATGCAATAGCATAAAAAGCTACATTACAAAAGTAATACGCAAAATTGATAATATAACCAGTATATCTTAGGCTAGCAGAAAACTTAATTCGGAGAATTCTCACTCTAAGTAAAGATAATGCATTTTACAAATTTAATTTTTTTTGTCGTTTTTGTTTTATTTTTTTTTGCTTTTATAAATATAAATAGCGCTCAATAAGATTAGACAAGAATACAATTTTTTTTGTAATTATATTGGCGCTATTTGTACGTACAAAAATATGAATTATATTATTCATAAAATTTGAGTTTTATTAATCAATATTTTATGCTTCAATTCGCGCATTAATTCTAAACTATTAATAAATTAGATATTCATTGATACAACATTGCACAATCAATCCTACAATAATGAATAATTTAAACGATTTCTTTTAAATCCATACTGCTCATTTGGTCTGACTCTGACTAATTAAATGCTTTTGTAAGCCGTTTTACACCACTACCCGAATTATAGTTATTTCATTGACACATTTTATCGATGATTATTATGGGTTCATTTACATCAGTCTTTAGATGGTCATTTGAGCCATAGTTACCGGAATAGTTGTTTGTACCATGGTTGCTATATGGTCACCTGTGCCATAGTTACCGGAATAGTTGTTTGTACCATGATTGCTATATGGTCATCTGTGCCATAGTTACCGGAATAGTTGTTTGTGCCATGGTTGCTATATGGTCACCTGTGCCATAGTTACCGGAATAGTTGTTTGTACCATGGTTGCTATATGGTCACCTGTGCCATAGTTACGTGGTCGTTTGTACCAAAAAAATGACCGTTTGTGCCATAGTTACATGCTCATTTGTACCATAGTTACCTAGTTAATTTTAGTAAAAAAATGGCCGTTTGTGCCAAAAAATGGTCACTTGTGCCAAAGAAATGGTCACATGTGCCAAAAAAATGGCCATTTTGACCGCGTTACCGACAGACAGACAGACAGACAGACAGACGGACAGACACACAGACACAGGTGAATTTAGGTTTCTAGACCTTAGCCTTTCAGTCTAGGGAATAGATCGTGTTGTAGAAATGAATTTTATGAGTGATATGTAGTAGAATCTATTTTATTATTGAGAAATAAAGGAATAGTTGTGGAAGAAAAAACATAAATATAAATAAATTTAGTCTGATTGAAATACATGACATTAGTTATTTTCTTTAGAAGCTATAGATAAATTGATATGTCAATAGAAATTTAATTGAATCAGTTTTGCTAAATGTTTGTCTTTTTCTTTTTGGTCGTTCCAATGAATAATATTTATTTAAAAACAAAAAGATGCTCCGAACGATCATAGTTCTTTCATTTTCATCAAACATTCTTCAGGAGTGATGTAGACAACAACTTGAACATTATTTTTATCACTGTCTCTTTTTCTTTTCATGTAATTTCTTATTATCAAGCTTAAAAACAGAAATGTCGAATATTTTTTTCAAGAAAAATCTTTACAAAAATCTATATGATTTTTCATTGATTAATTAAAGGATAAGAATATTGATATATATCAATATAGGATAAGTGTGTAGCGTATAGACGTAATATGATAGATAGAAAGCTATATGACTAAAGGTATAGATGTAACGCACTAGGATTAAGGATATAAGTATGAGAGTTACAACAAAAGAATATAGGACTAATGTATATACGTAAGTATATATGCCTAAATTTTTATCCATATATTTCTAGTCTTTCATGTTCATGTAAGAAAAGAGAGAATAAATAGATAGAAGTAGAAGTTTGCAAGAAAAAGATGTATTATATATTAATGAAACTCATCGTAAAAGCTGAATTTTTAAATGACCTGTTTATCTTTCTAATCAAAACAATACTTTTTAATTAAATGAATTAAAATTAAATTAAATTAGTAAAATTTTCGTCCAATTATTTTTGTAAAATGTTAACGTTACATCGATCAGTTTAAAGGTTTAAAAACTATTGTTTGATAAACCAGATAGATAATACAAAGCGAAATTTTTGAAAATGATGTTTACTAGAACAAATTTGCTTTCAGTCGGAACTCAACTAAAACATATCGAATCTTGAGAATTCAATCTGGTAATTTTGTGATTGATATGATCTTTCTAATAAAGAACTCAGCTTAGTTATGGATAAAAGAAAACTAAATGTCTTAGAATAATTTTCAAGACTTTAATTACCGTTCATATCTAAGATTGTGATTAAACAGCTATCTGTATTATTCATTCGTAGTTTAGATGAAATAATTAATAAAAAGAATATTTTACGTAAGTGATTTGTTTCGGTACAAGACTACATCTCAATTTATCTATGATTGAAATAATATTTTATACTATTTCTAAATTTTTTATTTTTTTGTATTCAGATAAATATTTATTCTATGAGAAAAAATTACAATATATCGAATCATTATCATTGATACAATCGAAACAAGTTATTGATATAATTCATTATTTATATGATTGTCTTGTTATTCATCGTGATAGTAATCATTTAAAGTTAACTGATTTCGTTTTTGCAGTTGCATTTAATATGGATAACAAAGGGGCAGCATAGAAATAATAGGTCCACTTACATATGCTAGTGAACCATTTTTAGATTTGTATTTAGAATTATTATCTGACCGGGGTTTCCCATATTATTTTTCTGAACGAACTTTTGATTTAATATGTGCATTAAATATTATAATGGCTATGAGTAATGTTGATATCGAACGAAGTAGGATTAAAATCATTGCAATCATGGAAAGATACTCAACGTACAAATAAACATTATTCAAATTTATTGAATTTAATAAACAAGCTGGATTCACGATGGTCATTAGATAAATCATCATTTTCTCATATTTCAAAAGATCAATCATCAATTTTTGACATTATAAAAGATGAAATAGAAAAACTTTTCGATGTGTGAACAATTGTATTCATGCTTTTATTTCTATATCACATGTTCATGTTATTCATTTTAAAATTTCACATAACACCTCATTAATATTTTTCCATTCTTTTTTTTGTGTTGTTTGTTAATTTTGATCTCTATCCATATATAAACAATCATCATCATTTAAAAAAAAAGCTTTGTTTCATTTATTAAAAAGCGTTTTTTTTTTTTTAATTGTCTAGTCTAAAGATAAGAAAGTTGTATTCTGTAGACGGACATAGTCAATACTAGTTTCCAGTTGCAAAAGATTTTCGACTGAAGAAATAAGTTTCGTGAAGTTTATAAAATGAATTTCTTTTGAATTAAAATAAAATCTTACGTTTTCAATCAAAATGACAATAAGTACCAGTATATTAAATTTTGATTACGCTAGTCAAAACGCATTGTCCTTGATTATCAAGGGTGTGGACGTGAGTGCGGTGGAGGATATGGGTCGACAGTAAGAATTTGAGGCTTCGCTTTCGATCCATCCTTGATACCAAATATCTAGAGGTAGATTCAAGTGAAATTTTTGTGCCAAATAACCCATATCCAAAAATGGTACCAACCATTCGATAGAGAATCAAAGTCTGCATCTAAGACCGAACATAGATGAAAAATTGAATCCAGTTCTAACATTACTTACGTTATATAAATAAATAATTAGTTAATGTATCGATGGCATATTTTCGCATTTAATGAGATTACCTGAAGAGTGTTGTATTTTCGAATAGACGATCTTTGATTGCTTTATCGATAATTATAATAAATCCAAAACCTTTTTTTCGAATAGTTTCTGAAATCGGCTTATTTATGAGGAAGATTTACTTTTTCAAAAGTCTAAAGATTTCTAAAATTAACAAGCTACTTGTAAAATGTGCATTGGTTTGTAATTTTCGTATTTGAACATATAATAACAACAGTCTATCTATCTTGTTTCTAATGAGAAGAGGTTCTTTAAGAGTAAAATTCATTCTTTTGAAAACTTGATACTGATATTTATCTTGTTGAGTGCGTTCTTATCGACATGGTCGAAGTAAATGATTTATGAACAATCTTTGCATGCTCAATCGATCTCCATTCAGATCAACTTCATGATAATAGCGAATGTTCTCGAAACACGATAAACATTGTTGTGGTTTAAATGATGGAGAAAAGTTTAGCAAGAAAGTATTTTTTCTAAGATACTAAGCGTCTAGATCATAATATTTTAATAACTGATGGAGGTTTCTATCTAATGCATTCTATATTAAAATTTCATAAATAAACTATGACTGTTAGCTTTCGGAAAAATGGACTAGGTATTTTTCTAGTGTCAGAAGATTTTGTTTTAGTTAGGTTTTTCTAAACATTGCCGTTCTTAAAAAGAGCAAACTTAGGGATTACAGCATTTTCTACGACATCCACTCAAAACATTAAAATAATCATAAAAGTCGTAAAGACGACGAAATGTCTAAAAAGTCAACAACAAACTTTTTTCGGGAGTTTGTGAAATATTGTGCTTTTTATGCTCATATTGTTAAGAATTAGCTCAAACAAAGTTTTCTGAGATCTCATAGCTACCTTGTCCCATGTTTTTAGAAAGTTCACCATCATAGTTTATCTATGAAGTTTTGATTTCGACTACATAAATTATGTAATGACTGAGTGAGGAAATTATGCTTTTTTTTCTTCATGAACAGTCAATATAAAAAGATTAATCCGAATAGAATTCTAGTCTCATAAATTATATTATTTAGTACGATTACTTCAAGAAGTATCATAGATATTTCCTAATCCTGTAAAAAGTGAATATTTGACTAGCATTCTTTCGTAAATGCTGAGAAACAAAAATATCCATATTATGATCGATAGAAATAAACTTTGATTACACAATTTTAGTATGCATTATTCATAAAACAACCGATGATCTCAAACTATAAGAACATATTATTTAATTTAAGTATGGTACAGTCAAAGAGAAAGTCTACTTCATTCATTATCAAAACTTATCTTCACAAAACTATCAAATGTCATTCATTTATGCTTAAATGTGGCGACAAACAGAAGCCATATCCTCATGGTAGTACTGTCTAACTTGATGTGTATATATAAGTATAATTTTTAGTGATTCCACGTTAAGTGGACATTTTTTTTATTATATAATTTCAGGGTGTGGGTGTGGGTGTAAGTGTAGATATAAAGAGCACCTACATCCTCCCTCACCCACACCCGCCACCCATACGCTGATAGAAGTCTATTCCATATACGAAGACCAATTCTGAAACTTTTGACGCTTGAACGTGATATAAGAGGGGGTCTTCTATTACTGTGGCAGGGATAAGAGTATGCATACTAAAGTACTTTTATAGATATAACATTTCTATTGACTGAAAGAGTCCTCCACACCCTTTTTGAAAAAAATGCACTTTGATTTTTTTTCTCCCGAACAAGAGTGTGTTTCAAATAAAAATATATGGGCGATTAATATATTCAAAATTCTGTCGATCGTATCTTTGAAAAAACTTAACTTCACTTGTCTAAGAATCATAAAATCTTTTGCGTCGTTAAGTTTGGCAAAATCATTAGTGTTAACGTCACAATTTTTGATATCTCGAACAATTAGTACAGTTTGGCCACCATATGTTTCGGAAAGAATCTTTTAACATGATTTTATAGACAAATGGTCGAACTATATTATCCATATAAAAGAGTTCGAAAATGATTTTATTGTAATCTTAGAATTTGAAAATTTTCTTTAGCCATGACAATTTCGAGCTTAAATCAACCAGGTGATTGATTTTTGTAAAACATATTAGATAAGGAAGAATGTTTATATACTATTTTATAGTGTTCGTGAACGACCATCAACCTAACAACATCTTTCACTATATTAGAATACAACAATTCTTTTCCAACAAATAATTTATTTTCAATAAAGCTGTAGTATCCCCAAAAAAATTCTTTGTTCAATGACAAATTTAATTAAAAGTTCGATTAGATTCTCATCGAATGTCTCGTGGGTGTAGGTTGGTGGGTGTGGTGTGTGTGGATGTGGGTGTGATGTGGCGTGTGGGTAGGTGTGATGATGTGGGTGTGGGTGTGGGTGTGGGTGTGGATATGGGTATGGGTGGGTGTGGGTGCGGTGTGTGAGTGTCGGTGTGAATGGGGTGTGGGTATTGGTGTGGGTGTGGATGTGGATGTAGGTGTCGATGAAGAGAAGATGAAAACCCACACCCACACCAACACTCCACACCCACATCCATCAACACCCACACCCACACCCACACCCCACACTCACTCACACCCACACCCACACCCACATCCACTCACACCCATAGTCTTCCCGCGCGTGCGCGAAAGAATTGAATAGCTTCCAAAGTAATTTTTTCATTCAATTACAATTTATTTGAAAGAGACGAAAAAAAAGGGAACAATAAAAAATCATACGAATTGAGTTTATTGAATATTAAATTTTTGTACTCGATGATTTTCTTTGTCGACGACATAGAGATTGCCATGACGATCGAATGATAAGCCAACGGGAGAAGCGAGCTGATTCGACTTTACTCCTTCACCATTTCCACCAATAATCACACTTCCTTGTGTGGCTCCTTTTGGCCAACGTATAATTCGATGATTCCTTTCATCAGCCACATAGACAGTACCCACTTGATCAACAACGACTCCATTAGGCCAATGCAATTGTGTAAGATTATCTCCTTGTCCATCACTACCGGCTACGACAATGCCTTGTTTTGCACCTTGTTCCCATTTCGTTACGCGATGATTTGCCGCATCAGACACATAAACTGAATGATCTCGATCAACAAATACGTAGTAGGGACTAGAAAGTTGATCGAGACGATTTCCTTGTCCATTTTCACCTGCAACTACTGTGCCTTGAGTATCACCGATTTTATATCGTCTTAGTTCATGTTTTCCCCAGTCAGCGCAATACAGATGACCATTGTCATCCATTGTCAAACCCACGCAACAAATATCGGAAATAATTGTTTCTCCACGAGTACCATTTTGACGAGGCCATCGAACTACTCTTCTATTCCCGTAATCAGAGATGATGAGACTATCGCTCTCTTTGTCGATAATCACATCTTTTGGTCGATTTAATTGATGAGTTTCATACCCTTGTTCATTTCCTCCAGCAACTACTGTGCCATTCGTTGCACCAGGTTTCCATTCCACAATACGGTGATTCCTGTGATCAGCGACATAAATGGTTTGATCATCGTCGACGTACAAACCGAATGGACTCCAGAATTGATTGGTTTCACTGCCTTTTCCATTCCCTGCAGCAACAGTGATACCATTCTCTGACCATGTTGCATTCGGAGGAATATCAACCAGACTTGCACGTAATGGTGCTGAAATGAAGCGAAAGTATGAATTAGAAATAAACATTGATATCAATGAAAGAGACCTCTGGGTTTTTGTTGAAAATTTATGAAATATTTATTTTCGAATCGAATATGTTATTTTTTTTCTATGAGCATGTATTAAAAGATTTTTTCTAACTGCTATTTTAAGAGTTTTAGTCAAATATTTTTAAACAAGTGAGGTAATAAACTTTTGATCTAATGTTGTAGGTCTTTCTGAAAAACAAATGAATTAATATCACAATCACGAGAGAAATGCTGTTTTTCTTTAAACTTTTCATATTTTACCATGAGGAAAAAAGTAATCAAATTATCAATTTTCTGCAATATTTAAAGAGCTACTACCGGAGAGAGTTTGATAAAGAAAACGAGTTGTATTGTTTCTCAATAAATATATAATTTTACGTGTAGTATTAGACATGTACCAATCCCGAACACGACTTCGAGTTTTCGAGTCAAACGTTGTAAGATTGAACTTGACTCGAACTCGAATATGAAAACTCGAACTCGACTTGAACTCGAATATATAAACTCGAACTCGACTCGAACTCGAATATTTAAACTCGATCTCGACTCGAACTCGACACGAACTCGATTTTATATTTTCGAGTTCGAGTCGAGTTCAATCTTGCAATAATGTAGTTCTACTTCAATAAGTGAAGTTCGATCGAGTTCAATTGTGCTGAGAGTGATGGATTAATAAAAAGCCTGTTTGCTATCAAGAATGAACATTCGATCCGTATCCGATAGATAACTAGTCTAACATTCATCAAGTGACATTTACAGTGTCTTTCCTGATGAAAAAAGTTCAGTATATATATACATTATATAACATTATTAAAAGTCAATGGTTGATGCTGATAATGACATCAAACCAAAGACTAAAGAGAATCCAGTTTGAACAGATAAGTCTGTATATATATACAATAAACATGAAAAAAAGAGATCGCCATAGAGAACTTTGGAGCTCATTAGTTGTTGATGAGATAAAAAAAGTTTCGTTAACATAGGAAGCTCTACTATTCCAATAATATGCTATTAGTAGGGGTAGACCAATTAACGAATAATGTACGAAATCCAATCTCATTTTTGACTACCAATACAGAATTTTATAAAATTGAACTCAGTTTGGACTCAGAATTAACGACTTGAATTTAGGTCGAACTCAGTCAAATCATGCTTTGATGTTCGAGTTCGGTCTTACTACGCTCGAGTTCTATTCGATCTCAAGATCCATGTTTAGGTTTCTTTCGTTAGGAAGATATTGATAAATGCCAGCGAAGTTTTTACCTATGATATTAGTATTAGTTTCATTTGCGCACTTGTGCAAAATGAAAAACACCAGCAGTTGTGATTGAATTCTTAAGATTTACTTTTAAGAATCTATGTATTCACGAAAATAATAATTTTTCTTTGAAAAAAACAGTGTTATTAGCCTGTTTTAGGTGTTATCATTTTATTTCATGTTAATGATAATATTCATTATGTCCTATAAAAGTGACTAGAATCTAGACAAACTCTGCGGAAACTAATTTTCTATCACATCTAATCCCTTTAGTACAGCGGCGACAATGACCTCTGAAGCGATCATATTTCCGATTGCAAAATAACTTCTATTGAAACTATAAATAAGAATCCTATTGTTTAAATATTTTATTCTGGAAGTCACTCGATGGTTCCTTTCTTTAGAACTAAAATTCAACCTACTGATAATAAAATCCAAGTGATATTCGCTGTAGCATCATTTTTTGAAATACCAAAGTCCTCTGCATGAGGGAACCTTTTACATTTCGTCAACTAGTACTGAATCCAAAGTCTTCTATGACGATCCTGTGTCATCTACTTTACTATACATGCAGCTTTATCTGCTCTAACTTGGTTCAATTTACTGTATATTTTCATTAATTATTGACCGGTGATACGGATCTCTCAAATATGTAGTGATTTTCTTCCATCAGAAAATATATTAGAAAACATCATTTCGTAGATGTTCCATTAGATGTGCATCAGACAGTAGGTGACTAGCTTTTGTTCCTAGACAACTAGCTCTTGATTGATCCATCACTAAGCTCGATCGAACTCGATCCAGACTTAGCATATATCTACTAGAGTTCGTGTTTATATGGACGAGTTCGAGTCTAGTTCAGTTTGATTATATTGAGTTCAAACGGCTTGGGTTTGGTCCATGTCTATGTAGTATCAATGGTAATTTCACTCTCTACTTAGAAACTATAAAGGACAACTGGCGGTAAGGGCATTTTTTGTCCAAAACATTTTTCGAAAAGAGTTACATATTCTGAATCAGCGTGAAATTCTCAGTCGAATAATGTACTTTTTTCTGTCGAAAGACGACTTTTTTTACCTGTCTTTAAGCACCTGGGGAAGGACCCCGGAACTATCAAAAACTTTTTCTTTCTAATTCTATCGAATTATATATCATTAGATGCAGAATTTTATGCTGATTCCAATTATCACCCTAAAACTCATAGACAATGAAGTTTTCCTCGCGAAAAATCTATTTTATTGTAGGATGCTAATAGAGGACTATTTTCAGTTGTCGTTGTCACGCGGTCTAGCTATACCACTAAAAAGCCTAAAAAGTACTAAGTCATGTGTGGAAATAGTTTTCCAATCAGAATCATGTAAAAAAACTGTTCAAGACCTGGTTTTGAATAGTTTAAGGATCAAATACTCGAAAAAACAGTAAAAAATGAGGTTTTTGGGTCTCCTTAACCCTATATAATAGGATAAAAAAAATCTCTAACCCATGGATGACATATACAGATCGATGCAGTTTTTCATTGTCTATCCGAATATGACTTCTAAAACAGAAAAAGAAATGTGGAACATGATCATATATGAGAAATACTCAAATCAGAGCGCAAAAGTCAAAAAATGGGCCAGTATTTCAAGGCTATGGCCGACAAAAATTAATTTTTGAGTAAAATGCATATGAAATTTGGAATCAGCATAGAAAACTGCATACAAAAACATGGATTT